CCACCCACCCATCCACCATCCACCCACCCATCCACCCATCCATCCACCCACCCACCTACCCATCCATTCTCCCATTCATCCATCCATCCACCCATCCATCCATCCATCCACCCATCCACCCACCCATCCATCCATCATCCTTCCATCCATCTACCCACCCACCCATCCCAATGCTCCCAGCATCCCCCATCCAGCTCCTCCTAAGCCCTCCTCCCAGGTGGGCCAACTCTTGTCTCAGGCTCTGTTGTTTGTGAGACAGTTTCAAAGATGGAGTGGTGAGGAGCCACACCTGGCCCAGATAGGGCCCCTCCCCTACTGCATCCACCCCAGACCTGGCCCCCAGGCTGAAGCTCTGTCAGATCACTTCCTCAGGAGCTGCCTGTGGCTCAGGTGACAGCTGGAGCTGATTACTCCCAGGAGGGTGTGAAAAACCACAGGGGTGGGGGGGTGGGTGTGAGCCAAGTGCCTTCAGGGCCAAGTAGGGGGTGGTGCAGACTGTTCTCAAGGGCAGGGCTGTGAGCCTCACACCCTCATCACAGGCAGGTAGTCCCATTAGTATAACCGTCAGTGTTCTAGAACTTTCCAGCCTTGTCCCAGGAACCAAGGACTTGTGTGCTCTGTCACCCCATTTTACAGAGGAGGAACAGAGAGGCTTTCAGCTGGACTTACTGGGCCCCTCAAGTCCCGCCCTGCGGCCTGGCCCCTGGGGAGAACGAGGCAGTTCCGGGCTGGGGGTTCCCCTCTGTGCTGAGCGCCAGTGACTGAATCACACCCTCAGCCACCGTAACCTGCTTGGTGGTCTTGAAAAAGCAGCCTGAACAGGGAAAACATTTTTTCTTTTTGAAATTTGAGTTTTGTACACTTCTATCTAGTTCCTGTGCAAAACTGATGTCAGCTGAGACGCCTTCCACACAGTGCTAACGATATTTTCATGGCTTAATTCGTATTTCAACAGACTGACAAATCCTCCACCAGGAGGGGCTGACTTCCCGTTAGTTCCCAGGACCGGTAAATCAAACGCGGGTGGGGTGAGGAGGAGAACGGGGCACTTCACTGAGGATTCCTGCCTGCCCCCCAACAAGTGCCCAGGGAGGATCAGGGTGGGGGGTGCCTCCGTCCACGAGCCTGAACTGTGCTCCCTGAGTGTTTTGCGGGTGCCTAAAAGGAATTTTCAAACCGCCAGCAGGAGCCAGAGAAAGAACTGTAGTCAGTAGAGGTGCTTCTGTGAGACGTGGCCCATGGGTTTAAAGCCTGGAACTGCCGGCCCCTCAGCGCTGGACAGGCCAGGCTGGGACGGCCTCTGTGACTGGTTTCTGACCACCCCCCCCCACTTCCACAACGGGCTTGGGCCTGGCCACAGGAGGAAGGAAGCTGCTCAGAGAGGAAGGAGGGTCTCAGGCTGCACGGGGTGGGTTCCCGCACCCTTTGCTCCCCGGGCTGGGTCAAATCACCCCCTCCCCGTCCAGAGGAAACTCCAGCCCAGAGAGAAGGCTACGGCACAGCCAGGAGGCGTCAGCATCTGGGATAGGCCCCACAACCCCCAAGACTCCCCACCTGAAGGGCCCCGGGGGCTCCTTCCACCCCCATCTGCTGCCCAGGGAAGGTGATAAGGAGCAGTGCGGGCATCTTAAAGACATGTAATGTTTTCGGGGGTAACACGGGTTTACATGCGCTAGGAACAGGCTCACACCTCCTCAGTTAAGTGCAGACTCGGAGGCCCTGGAGGGCCGGCTCGGGGTCCCCCAGCGGCCTGGTCTCGGCCTCTCCACCAGGGCTCGTGGCCACCGTGTGCAGGAACGTGGGAGCCACTGTCACATGTGCACAGTCACGCTGTGTGCACACAGGACGCTCAAGCAGGCTCGTGCACATGTGGCTCGTGGGAGGACCGGGACTCGGGCGCTGCCCAGAGACCAAGGGAGCGTGGTTTGCTTGGGCCAGGTGGCCGTGTGGCTCACACAGCCAAGCTGGGGGGCCAGTCGGCCTCACTCGCTGGCCTGGGGCCCCCGTCCCGAAGCGGGAGGGGCCTTGACCACCCACTGGCGGAGGTAGCTCCTGGGGGGCCCTTCGTCCCTGGGGCCGGTGAAGTCACGCTCCACGGGGCTGCCACAGTCAGAGTCCGCAAAGCCGCTGTCAAACGTGTCCATGTCCATGCCGGCCAGGGGCGAGCCTGCCTCACTGTCAGACACCCCCGGGGTCAGCCGTTCAGGCCAGGGCGGGCTCGGGGTCCAGCCGGCCTCCTCTGCAAGGGGCATCTTTAGCCTGCTGAGAAGGCTGCCCAGGTGGCCCCCCAACACGGCAGGGCCGCCTGAGGAGACACACCCATAGGACAGGACTGTGGCTCCTGAGCCCAGGAGAGGGTCCTCCGTGTCTGGGCCAGGCTCCAGGCTGGTGTCCAAGTTCAGGGCTGGGTAACCATCATCCCTACAGGCACAGGGCCACACGCAGGCCTCCTCAGCGCCCACCACAGTCACCGTGTCGATGGACACCAGGCCGTACGGCCGCTCCTGGCTGGCAGCTGAGCCACTCACGCTGCCTGCCCTGGGGGCAGCTGGGCCCTGGGCGTCCGGCTCGGCCAGCCCATCGGCTTCCGCCAGCTCCGCAGTTTCCGGCAGCTCTGTGTGCTCTGAGCCATCGGTCACGCTCTGTGGTGGGCAGTGGTGACATATCTCCAGGGTAGACGGTGCCCCTGGGCTCCAGGTCCCGAGCTCTAGGCTGGAGGCAGTAAACGGTGTGCCGACCCATGTCTGAGACAGAAAAGGGTCAGGGACAAGACTGGGTTAGGATGGAGGCAGACAGGCCAGAAAGAAAAACAAAGACAAAGAGGCAAAGGGACAGAGAAGCAGGAAGATGAAGAGGCAGATGGGGGCGAGGGGACCAGGATCAAGGGGCGCCCCGTCCAGGGACGGTCGCCATCACTGGCCTCAGCTCCTCTCGGGGCCTCCGTTTCACCGCCCCCCCTCCCCGGAGCAGAGAGCTGCTGTGACCTGCCAGCTCACTGGAGGGTGGTGCAAGGGCCGAGCAGGTGGTGGGAGGCAGGGCCCGTGAGGCCTAGGGCCAGAGCCCCCACCTGGCCAGCTGCTTCACTTCCTCAGAGCAAACCTGAAATCTGGAAGCCCCTGATTGTGCCTGCACTACAGGGGACATTCAGCCAGGCTGCACCAACAGGGGGCGCACTGTGTGCCTGGCACCCCGTGGGTGCCCAACAAGTGTTAGATGATGAAATGAATGAGCTGAGTGAGCCAGTGACCTACTTGGAAAGGCCTCTGTGTGCTTGGTAGATGAGAGATGTGGAACTGAGGCAGAAGCCCCGTGCTTTAAGGACACCCCTGCCTCACCTGCCGGGGCCCCGTCATGACACGGGTCTCCGTTCACCTGGCAAAGAAAATCCCTGCAGACCACAGCCACTGACTAGGGCCAGCTCCCTCAGAAGCGCATCTGAGAACTTGATCGACTCAGTCATGCCTTCGCTGTGTGGCCCTGGGCCAGTTACTCACCCTCTCTGTGCCTGTTTCCTTATCTGCAAAAAGGCCTTGTGCCCACAGGGCTGTGTGAGGATCGAGTGAGCTTGTGTCTGTGGGGCTTTGGGCAGCCTCTGGCATGCAGCCGGCGCCCTGTGTGTATCTTGAACACAAATGAGCTGCAGGGAGGCTGCCGGGGAGTGGGAAGGGTGTGTGTGGGCTGGAGTGGAGTCGGGCTCCTCCTCTGACCCATGGAAACCACTTCCTGCTCAGACCTTGTTCCCTGTGTGTCCTCTGGGTCGCTGGCCGCCCCCCCTTGGGGGCCACAGCATGGCGCACCGCGGGCGCTCAGGTGCACAACCAAGGCGCAGCCAGTTCTCGTCCCTGCTTCCTGGCTTCCAGGCTGGGCCAGAGTGCGGCCTCCCTGCCCGCCCTCACCGCAGCCTCTCCGCGGCGGCCTCCCGCTCTGGTGGGTGCCCAGCAGTAGGCGGGCACACAGCAGCCATGGCGCCAGGAGCGCTGGGGGAGGTGGTGGCCGGCGGAGCGTTGGTGTGATTTGCAAGCAGCATCCAGCCCTTCTCGAGCACCCTCCCCACCCAAAGCTAGGGCTTTTAAGTTCCAGGAGGCCAGTTTGTGGCTCAAGAGACCCTGGCTCCCCCACTCCCCTATTTGGCTCCCGGGGCTGGGAAGTGCTGTGTGATCACGCTAATTCTCACTCCAGTTCTGTGTCAGACCCCTGGCTGCATGGCTGGCACTCTGGGAGGGGTGGGATCCTGGCGTGAGAGTGGGGGCACCTCCCAAGATGGGGGTGAAGCTGCGTGGGCACCAGGCAGGGGCACTCACCTTGAAGTCTCCTCTGTGGCCTATGTACAAGGGCTGGAAGAACTTCTCTGGGCTGGGCACCTGCACCAACACCTTCTTCCACAGCCTGGGAGGCAGAAGCAAGTGAGCTACCTGACTCCTAGAGGGCCATCTAGCCCCCCAGTCAGGGGCTCCCCAACCTTGCATCGCAGGAGGTGCAGCACCTCCCAAACACCTGGAGCACCTCCTGTCTCAATCCCGGCCTCACTTTCCAAACCTGTAAAATGGGGCAGCAGGTCTCCGGTAGGTGCCTGCTGTGCTGGGCATTGCGGTCGTGTCTGGCTGGGGGCCGGCAGGGCCACTGGACAGTGATAGCACCTCAGGTGCCCTGGCATTCCAGGTTCTGCAGCTCGAGCTCTGCCTATGTGGCTCCCACCTTTGCCTCAACTCTCTAGATGAAGCTGAACAAAATGAGCTGGGAGGCAGGGACCCCACCCAGTGCCAGCCATGTAGTGAGGGCAAACAGCAGCCCTGGACCAGGGGAGCTCTTTCCAATGGCGACATCCAGCAGAAACTCAGCAGAAGACCAGGTTGCTTGAGACAGAAGGGATGGAAGTGGGCTACCACCTCCATCCGGGGAGCCCTCATGCCCCCAGGACTCAAAGCTCAACTCAATGGACAAGGTCATGGCCAAGGGCACTGTGATGTGCACAAGGTTCAAATCCCACCTCTTCCCCTTCCTGGGGGGCTATCACGGAGGCTCCGGGCCTCAGTTCCCCCTTGTTGAACGGAAGTGAGTGCCATGCACTGAGTTGCAAGGCCCCTGCCACCAGAGTCCAGCACGCAGCCGGTCAGAGCCATGGTCAAGGTCAGGGTGGCAGATGCCGTGGCCCAGGCTGACCCCTCCCCAAGGCCCAAGCCTCACCTCAAAGGCTGGTGGTTGATCTTCAGAAATAATAAGATGAGGGCAATAGATATTAACACCAAGATGATGTAAATATTCCCGTTGTCTCTAGAAGGAAGCTCTCCCTTTATCTCTAGAAGGAAGCGAAGACTGGGTGAAATGAAACCACCTTCTGTGGGAGGCTGCTGAGGGGTGTGGTGGGCAGTGGGTCCAGGGCAGGGAGTAAACGTGTGAGGAGCTGCTGGCCACTCAGTAAGATGACTCGGTTTCAGACCCTGCTTCCTCCTGCTCTCACCGAGCCTCAGTTTTCTAATCTGCTAACCAGGGGTGAGGATTCCCGCTTCACAGAGGGACTAGCAAGGGCGAAGGCTCTGCCAGGAGAAGCAGCAGTCACCTGCCCTGCAGGGGCTCCAGAAATGCTGCAGGAGAGGAGTCCCCCCCGCCCCCAGCAGGTCTGGGCCCCCGAGAGCAGGTAGCTGCACTCGTGGGACGAGTTGGTACAAGGAGTGAGGGTCCCCCTGCTTCATACCCACCTGACTCGGTCTCAAAGACGACGGGGTCACTCCACTCACTCCAGGTCCCCTGGAAGAACGACTCGGGCTGGGGCCCCGCCCGCATCTGTAGCTGGTAGCTGGCGCCCTGGCGGAATTCCACAGACAGGAGGGAGATGCTCCTCACGTCCACGGAGATCAGCTTCCTCTGGGGATTCTGCCAACAGAGGGGCCCGAGGCACAGTGTCGGGGCAGCCCAGGCCACCAGAGCTTCTAGTCCTGCAGCGTATCTGCTCCCCCTGCCAGCATCAGCCCGGGCCCAGTCCTGGCCACCCAGTCCTGGCCGCGGAGCCAGCCCGACGTGCTGGCCACACTGCTTGACCCTGTTTCTGTCAAAACCCACTCACCCAGACAACCATGGGACCCTCCCTGCTGGGACTATGAGCACCCCACAAGCAGGAGTGGGTACCCCAGAGCCCCATTTCTGGAAGTCTGCCACAGCAGGCATCTTAGTCATGGATGCCTCTGGAAGTCTTCCGCCAGGGACATTCCAAACCATGGCACTTGTGTAACTTCCCTGGGACCATTCTAAAAGATGGATAATTCTAGAGCTCTTCTGCTAAGATGGTTCTAAGTCGTGGGCTCTTCAGGCACTCCCCACACCAAGCAGAGGACTCCCCCAGAAGCCTCTACACGGGAAACAGAGCTGAGCTCTGCAGGTGGCGGACGCCCCGCAACGGTGGGTGTCCTGACAGAGGGAGCGGGGTTCTGAGCACCTGGCTTCTGAGGCGGGTGAGGCAAGGTCGGGTGGGGGGGGGCGTCCTTGGCTTCCCAGCTCAGCTAGGAGTGACAAGCGCAACTGCCCGGTCCCCCACACCTGGCTGCTTCTGCTCTGCCCCCTTGCCTGGGGTCTTGGCCACCTCGCCCTTACCCAAGGTTCTTCCTGGCTCCAGTACTGCAGCTCGTACTGCAGCTTGCCCTTGAGTGCGTGGGCTCTGTTGGAGCACCAGGAGATGTTGTAATGTTCCGAGAAGGTCACCGTCACGTTGAAAGGGGGAGAGGGCTTGACTTGAGGGGAAGGGCAGAAAGATAAAATGGGTGAGATTGTGCAGCAGAGAAGGACCGGGCGCCTTTGCTTGTGAGATCAGGAAGGGCAGCCCTGGGTGTCCGGGGGCATGGGCCCAGCCTTTTAGCGGGGCCTTCAGGTACTCACTCCACATGGCCAGGACAAAGCTGCCACACTCCTGGGAGCTGCCATTGTATGGATCGGTCTCGGTGACGATGAAAATGTCATCAGCCATGAAGAGGAACACATCCATGTGACACATATACATGGTGTGTGTGGCATTGAAGGAGGCCTGGTGGAGGCTGCAGGAGGTGACCTCATCCTTCAGCTCTCCAAATGAGTCTTGCCTGCAAGGACAGGGCACTCAGTCGTGGCTGGATGCCGGTCAGGCTGGGGCAGGGCTCTGTTCACAATGACCTCCTCGCTAGTCCTCAAACTCACCAGCTGTTCCATGGGCCCACGGCCTTTGGCCAAGCAGTGTCCTCTGCCTGCCTCCTCCTCGTCCAGAGAGTCCTGCCCTGGCCATTCTGGCTAACTGGACCCTCCCTCCTGTCACTCACTTGCTACTCCATGGCCCAGACTCCTGTGCCTTACAGCATTCACTGTTATCAGAAAGCACACATGGGTTGTTTAAATGAGTGTCTGTCTCCCCAGCCATACCCACTGCAGAACATAAGCTCCAGGGTATCTGGAACCTTCCTGGTCTTGGGTTCTGCTGAATCCCCAGTGCAAGCAGAAGCCTAACAAACTGTTATGGATGGATGGGAGGGTAGAAGATGGATGGATGGGTGGGTGGATGGATGGATGGATGGATGGGTGGGTGGGTGGGTGGATGGATGGGTGAATGGGTGGGTGGATGGGTGGATGGGTGGATGGATGGGTGAATGGGTGGGTGGATGGGTGGATGGGTGGATGGATGGGTAAATGGGTGGATGGGTGGATGGGTGGATGGATGGGTGAATGGGTGGCTGGATGGGTGGATGGATGATGGATGGATGATTGACGGATGGATGGGTGGATGATACATGGGTGATTGATGCATGATGACAGAATGAAAACCATTCTGAGCACCAGGATAGAAAAAGATTTTCTCTTGATCAAATTATGTTCTGGCTTCTCTGAATCCATGCCTGTTTCAGAATTGTCCAATTTCAGCCAGAATCTAAGTCAGTTTCTCCAAAGTCCTCCATCTTTAGCATTTGACCAGGCTCTTCCTCCTCCACCCCTCCCCACCCCGAACATCTGGGAAGCTGTCAGCTCTGATTAGACACTCCTCTTCCCCGCCTGCTTCCCTTCAGTATTTTCTATCCATGCACCTCACCCTGCTCCTTGGCTCTACATTCCCAACTTTCCTTTCTGTGGTCAGAAAAGAGTCGTATCTCCTCTACTGAGAACTCCTAACATGAAGGTGTTGAACAAAGTCTGTCTTACCAATCTGCAGCCAGGCCCGTTCTGCCCCCGATGGCCCTTCCAGGGCCATCCTAGTGGAGTCCCCAGGCCTGACGAGGCCTGGTCACTTACCAGGTGAGGGTGAGCATGCCAGTCTGGAGGGTTATCGTCTCCAGGATACAGGTGATCGTCTGGAAGTAATCAGTGTAGCAGACGAGATCTGAGCAGCCCCAGGCTGGAAGGGCAGAAAGACAGATGCCTTGGTGGGGAGGCCGTGCGCTGCAGGGAACCTTATTCCCTAACCTCCTTGAGGGCTGGAGGACGAGTGGAGACAGGGGTCTAAGGACACAATGAAGATATCTTAGCAGCCCCTACCGTATGGGTCTCGGGAAAAGAGGGCAAAGGGATCTTTGCCATCTGAAAATTCCTTTGAGCCCCCAACATTCAAGGCTGGTTCTGGAAACAAGACACACTTAATGAGAAATACAATAAGCTAAGCTGGACCCCACTCCACACTCTGCCTGTGAGCCCAGGCCAGCCACTAGGCCAGGACTGGCCCCCTGGACTGGCCGTTTAGCCAGTCTCCTTCTCAGAGTGGGTGTCCTGAACTCCCCCTGAACCCACCTTCTGAGAAGTCAGTGAACACTGCTGAAAGTACTGCAGGCTCTGAGGAGAGAGGCCTCAGCTTGGGGCAGTGGGTCCAAGGCAAGACACTCACCCCAGTGGCAAAGGAAGACCTCTGAAGGCCAAAATCTTCCCAGAACTGAGAAACCCAAACACTGTTGCCAAAATATCTGTATTACCCTATTGCTCAGTCACCCCCAGGGAGGCATGGACTCAGGTAATTCTGTTAGAAGATTTAATACCCTCCCCCTTCCCAAAAGAACTGCTTTACTCTTTGTCCTAAAAATGTAGATGCAATCATGACTAAATGTCTTTCAATGTTTGGCAAAATAACTTGGATAAGTTTTAGTTTCACTTTGTTTTGTAAGGTTAAGTGCTAATGCTACTATTTCCACCCCCTCACTATTTACCAGAAATGTGTTCCTCTTTTTTAAATGGGTTCATTTTTAGTGGCTTTTCCCTATTTTTCCTTGACTAATGAAGACCCAACAAGTGGTGGCACATTCCCTCTCTGGGCCTCAACTCAAGGTCAGAAGCTGGGTTCAGAGTTGAAGATATTGTTGCTGGAAATGTTCTTTAGTCCATCCCTCACCCCATCTTATAGATGAGGACACTGAGGCCTTTTGTGTCCCCTGTTCTGAAAGGCAAAGCTTAATCTGAACTAGTTCTTTGCCATCACCAGCCTCCCCCCACCCCTACCACACACACTGCAGACATGGCTAATCCATCATGGCACTGCAGCCACATAGCTGTCAGACATTGCTAATCGATCTCTACACTCTCCTGGGTGTGGCCTCAAAATCCTCAACACAGTTGTCCCAGTAGTCACTACCATGGGATCTGAGTTTTAGAAATGAAATTCTATTCTAGGAGGAGGCTTTCCTCAGGGAGGCAATCAGGGCCCTTTGGTGGGGCAAACAAGGGTTAACAGAGATACTTTGAGTACTGAGAAAGAGGACTGATTTTGACAGTTCCTTAACACAAAGCTGTAGGAGCCAGTGTGTGGCCATGTTGTCCCCCAGGTTATATCCTGGTTATTCTCCCTCCTGGTTATTCTATAGGGAGAGGGAAGGAGGTTAGGAGAGATGAGTGTAGGGAAGAGTTGGGGGGGTGGGGAGGGGAGACTGTTTTGGAACGTGGTTTTTGAGTGTACCATTATTCCTGGGTACACTCAAGGCGACCAAGGGACAGGCTGTGTCCCAAACTTGGAACGAACATTGCAGAGCGGATGGCAGTCCCTCAGCTAGCATGCGCGTAGCCTCAGGGACCAGTCAGCTGGTCAGTGAGCCCCCAAGCCCTGGGCAGAGATCCCAGGGACCATCCTTCACCTGGGGTTACCGAAGTGTGCAGGAGGCCAATGAGAGGCAGGGAAGCGGCACGTAACTCACGACCTCCCCAAGGCCCCAACTGTCAGTGGGGGATCCTGCCCTCAGCGGGGTGAGTGTTTCCATGCTCTCACACCACGCTGCCCTTGCTGCCTGCACGTGACAAGCAGGAAGGCCAGGCAGTGGAGAGCACCAGACTAGGTGGACTGAGACCCCTTCCCGGCTCTGCCACTGAGGAGGGAGGTCCTGCCCCGATTGTCTTCAACCTCAGGCCCTCCCTGGGTAACTGCAGCCAGACCTCCCGGGGCCCTGGGGGTGATGAGGGAGTGGGCTGCCCCCTGTGCAGGATGCAGCAGGGCTGCCTGGTTGATGTGCACCTAGCGTGTGGAGCGTGGCAGGCCAGTGCCAGGCCGCAGAGCCAGGCTGACCTGCTGACCACTCAGAAAGGGCAACATCTGTTTCCTGAAGCAGCTATTTGAGATTCTGGGTCTTTTGGTAAAAACCAGAGAAAAATGCCTATGAGTCAGCAGAGTGGAGGCTTAAGGCCCCTGACCAGCCAGCCTCCGGTCCAGCCTTCATGGGAACCTGTGTATTTTGCCCTGCCTCCTCTGGGGAGGCTTCCTGGATTGCCATATCCCTCCTGGCCTCTGGTGTGCGGCGTCTCTGCCTCTGATTGCAGCATCTCCCGGCTTGGGTCTCTTTTGTCACCACTCCCATCTCCCCAACCAGGGAGTGTCAGCGCCTGCTGAGGATATTAAAAAATATCTCCTCGAGAAGTCTTGCTGAAGGGGAAACTGAGGTTAGACCAACGCAGGGCTGTCTCACCCTGGGGGTTGGGAGCCAGCCAGGTAGAGCACAGTGCAAAGGAAGGGTGGAGAGGTAGAGACCCATCTTCATATGGCCCGGTCACCTGCGAAATGCGTGCTGCTACTGCTACTGTTAGTGGAGCGGGCTCCCCTACTTGTGCTGGCCTGCAGGGGACAGATTCTGTCGACCGCCCCCCACCCTGGCCCTGGACTCCAGCCTGCCCCGTGCCCACAGGCCACCGGCCTCCCCTTTTGCTGCAGGTCAGGAGCAGTTACTCACCACCCTGGAGCAGCAGCAGCAGTAGCAGCGGGATGGCCCAGCACGGCATGCTGACTTCCCAGAGCCTGGAAGAGACGTGAGGTGAAGGTGGGCCTGCGGGCCGCTGCCCCTGACAGCCTCCCTCTGGCCCTGTCCCTCCCTGAGGAGATTTGCCTCTGCGCCCGGATTTGTCTCAAAGCAACAAGAAGCATACAAAGTCCCAGAGGTGTGACGAGCCCGTGGAGCCCGCGAGGACTCCTGCGCCTTAGACATGGCTGACTCAAGGTGGGCCCTCGCTTCTCCACCTTCCCTGAGCAGGGTGACAAGCCAGGTGGACTTCAAGAGGGAGGCGCTCACTCTCCTCTGCCCCCATTAACCCAGCTACCACGTGGTGAAGTGAAACGTAGGCATTTATTAAGCCCAGAGAGAGGGAGGGAAGTCGGGAGGGAGGTGGGGTGCAGGGAGGGGAAACTGGTTGTGAGAGTGGTATCTGAGGAGCAGAGATTAGATTCTTCTGTCTGTGAAACATCCTGTTGGCATTAGCCCAATGAATTGGCTTCTTACTGAGTAACAAATCCAAGCTCCCCCACAAAGTCGCTGCACATTGAATGCCCAAGAGAAGGTTGGCCCAGGTGATCCATCAGTGAGCTCCGGTGAGCCTGCGGGCGGGCACACTGGGAAGCCAGGCTGCATGGCCCGGATGTGATGGAGAAGAGGCCTCTTAGCAGGGACCCACCAGGGAAGGGGGGACCCTGAGCACCACTGACAGGCCAGGACTTGGCTGGTGCCCCTGCTCTATGTGTGCATGGGAGGTGCCAGCCAGAAGCCAGTGGGCCCACCCGGCCAGACCCAGCGCCTGCCCAAACAGCATGCACAGAAGTGGAGCCCGGAGGGGTGGCCCTGCATCCGGGGGCCATGTCTCACACAGACTCATTCCGGACCCCAGCTCTGAACCCAGCGGGAGGACGCCTGTCTCGGTCCCTATGCAGAGAGCTCCTCAGGGAGCTTTCCAAATAACGAGTCCCCAAGTGGGCCTAGGGAAGGCCACACGGAGGACCGGTTTTCTGGCTGTCTGCCTCTGCGCAGCCACTTCCCCTCTCTGAGCCTTGTAACGTAGAAACATTCAAATCTGCTCCCAGGTTTCTGATGAGAATTCAAAGAAGTGATTTGCAAAAAAACCCTAGACATGACCCCGACACAGAAACACTCATAGATGGTCATGACTGACAAGTCATTTAGGGCACCTGAAATGGAAGGAGCCCAGAATGAGTAGCTAAGAGTGACGAAAGCTCTCATTCTGTAGGTTGTGTGCACCATTATTTATTTTCTATGTTTCCCGAAAGTGGATTCAACTAAAGATTTGACTCCAGCCTACCCTAAGCAATACCTATAACTATGTTTTTTTTCCTATCACACTTAAGAATGAATCACATCACTCTTAAAAGAAATTCATATTGGGACAAATCTCATTTGCATCCACTTTAAGAAACAGGGGAGGGCCCTCCCTGGTGGCGCAGCGGGTTAAAGCACAGCACTAAGAAGCTGAAGCCACTTCAGCATGAGTTTGACCCCTGCCCCGGAGGTGACCACATGGCGCCACAGACCTCTCCTGACCCGCCCTTTGCTCCCCTCAGCAGTGTACTTCCTCGATCTGCCTGTTCTGCTCCCCGCTCTGTCTCTGGTGAATCCTCTCACCGCCCCTGCACCTCTGGCCTGTACCCCATCTCTATATGCCTAAATAAATAAATCTTTAAAAAAAAAAAAAAAAGAAAAAAAGAAAAAACAAACAGAGATATCTCCTGGCCTCAAGCCCCGCCGGAGTCCAGTTCCACATTCAGCGGACTCACCCCTCCCCCGGATGGCCACCCACACCATGGCCCCGGCCCAGCACAGCTGTCTGAGTCACTCCCCAGGGTCTTCAGTCCCACAGCCCAGCAGGAAGCACAGCTCGTTTCCCAGATCAAGCCCCTTAGCTCTCCAGATTCCTCAGCTCTGCGCAAATGACACAAAGCCCGTGGGGTGAAGAGGGTGGTCTGGGCTTCTGTCTGGTTGGCATCTCCTCTTCTCTACTGAAGGGCTCAAACCAGAGCTGACTGAACCCCACTTGCCTGGCCATGGTGAGTGGATCAGGAATGCATGCTAGTTCAGACAAGGACGATGACAGCAGTTTGGGAGTGTTTTCAGAATTCTTGTAAAGAGGAGCTGTGGGACCCTTCTAGCCATTGCTGAAGCCATGTTTGCCACATCTTCCAGTTTGTCTAAAGATGAAGTCAATACTGAGAAATAGAGGCCCGGAGTCCCCATGGCATCACTTGATGACCTGCATCCAGTCATATCTGATGTCCGTCCCTAGACTTTTCGCTTACATAAGCCCAAAACACCCTTTTGCACAAACATGTCAATTATGTTTCTGTTGCTTGCCACCAAGAAACCTGATGCTGTGCAGTCAGGCCCAGCATTAGACGCCAAAGGATCATGGTGTAAATAATAGTTCTTTGGCTTTCTACTTTCTGACATTAGTTCCCATCTCTAGAATGGAAACAAAGAAGTCCACTACACCAGTCAGTGAAGAAGAGTCAGCGAGAAAGCAGGTGTGACAGTGCTTTGTGAACTGTAAAGTCCCACTCAAGGGTACTGGGTTCTTGCTATTGCTGGCCGGTTGCTCTGGATCACTCTCCATCCCCTAATACATGGCTGGCTTTGTATAAGGCAGTTCTACTGACGAGTCTTCTCCCCCTTTCCCCCTCCCCCCATCACCCTAAACTCAGCCTTCATGGGCCACTAGCTCTATCTCTGCACCCATGAAGTCACATTGGAAAGTTCCAGAATTCCTGCCATTTAGTGCCTTCATGGTTTTCACCAGTGTCCTCATCTCCTTGCTATTTATCTTTACCTCGCTTCCCATTTTTGCTTCAATAAACATATCGCAAAAGAAAATACAGTATCACTACCATCCACAGGTAATCAGTGTGAAACAGGCAACAACCGTCTCTCAGAGGCGCCCCAGACCATCCGCTTGCCCCTGAATGAAGCGTAGAAGGACTCCAAGGGCTCCCACTTTAAAGCTTGTGCAGCACCCACCTCTGCGATCTCCTACAGAGGGGTGAAGAGCACCAAGCAGAGGGTCCCAGCGGTGTGTCCTTAGGAAGTTCCCTGACCTTTCTGATTCTTTGCTTTCCTCCCTTTGAAGTGGGACGCTTGGTTGCAGGTTTGCTGAAAGCACCACAGCATCGCTGCACCGAAGTATTCCAGCACAGTGAGGCAGGAGGTGGAGCCCGATGCAGGTGTTTATCCAGCAGGCTCCAGCGTCCAGAAATGATGTCTGAGGTTGTGGTAATTCAGACTAAATGGTGACCAAATCTCAGGCAATTCAGGGGAAGTGGAGAAGTGTGGGGGTAGGAAATCAGATTGAGGTAAGTGCTACGGAGAGCCAGATGCTTGACTCCACAGCCAACAGAGAAATGCAAATGCAAACCACAATGACATACCATTTTAATTTTGGCAGATTGGCAGGAACTAAAAGTCTGACAACATCACATGCTGCTGAGGACATGGTGTCATGAAAACTCTCATTCACAGTTTAAAAAATGTAAATCAGTACAACTGGCCTGGGAAATGGTTTGGCATGAACTAATAAACCTGAGCAAGTGTCTCCACAGCTCAGAAGTCTCATTCCCAAGTCCAGCTCCAGGAGCCCACGGAAGACACAGACGCGCTTTGCTTTCTGTTTATAATAGCACGGATACAAACAGCGAGAAGCTGGAAACAACCTAAATGTTCATCAGCAAGAGAACGGGAAGATCAATCGTGGTGTAATCACTCAATGTGAAAACGAATCACTTCTTCACACAACAAAGCAATTGGCTCTCACAAACACAACGCAGGGAGAAAACAAAGTTAGAAAGAGCACATGTATAATAACACGGCCTGTGCCACTCTTAAGACTGTGTGAAAGAGTTTTCTGTATTGTTGAGGTGAACATACATGTGTTTTGAATGTGTAGATGATAAGCATCAAGTTTCACTTCATATAGAAATAGGGAGGAGTGAGGAGGAGGGGTGGTCAGGGCCTCTAAGGTTTGGTAAAACTAAGTGAAGTTACTGAGGGTGTCAATTATAGCATTGTTGTACTTTCTTGTATGCCCAAACCATTTCATAGTATTTTAAAATAAGTGAATCTTAGTTTTGTGAAATAAAATATAGAAGGGGACTTCCACTTCTGGCTGTGATGGGGTAGTTGGTATCAAACTAACCCTTGTACTGGGAACAACTTAAAACAAAATTAAGCAACTAAAGAAAAAAACACAATTAGAAGGCACGAGAAAACAATCAAAGAGATAGTACTTGAGAGGCCAGGATGCCTGATAGAAGGAAGGTGCACTGAAGTTGTGCATGCAATTTCCTCAGAAATAATTTGCCAAGTCGTTGCAAATGTGTTGTATGCCAAGACACTTAGCAAGCTACTGGTAGTAGGCTACAAAGCTAGGAAGAGATTTTGGCAATTTCACAATGCTGAGCAAAGAACTGGAATTCAATGTCTAGCAAGAAAGATGGACCTTGGCAAATACCCAAAAAATTCTGCCCGGAGAACAAGAAAAAAAAATCAAAAGTAGTTCAATCTTGACCTAGTGGTGAGCCACTGAAAGCTTTCCCTTTCAGATCATGCACAAGGAAAGCTGTCCTCTTAGTGGGCATGAAAAAGAAATAAAAGTTGTCCAGAGTAAGAAGGGAGAAGCAAAGCCTTTCTTTTATAGATGATATGATCTCGTATCTGCAACATTCTCAAGAATTTCCACAAACAAAATTATTAGGAATAGTAAGTGAGGTTAGTGAGGTTGCAGAATAAAAGAGCAAGATAAAAAATCCATTGCATTCTTATATACTAGCAACGAACAATATACAAATGAAATGAAGAAGGCCATTTCATTTATAATTTTATAAAAATATAACTCGGAATGAACCCATGTATAATATAACCCAGAAATGAACCCATGTAGACATGGCCAAGGGAAAAGGATAATGTCTTCAACAAAATGGTGTTGGGAAAACTGGTTTTCAAATGCAGAAGAAT